TTCGGCTCAGTGGACAGAGCTTTGGCCTGCGGACTGAAGGGTCCCAGGTTCGATTCCGGCCAAGGGCATGTACCTTAGTTGCGGGCACATTCCCAGTAGGGGGTGTGCAGGAGGCAGCTGATCGATGTTTCTCTCTCATCGATGTTTCTAACCATGAGGGTTGGAGAGAGGAAGACCTGTCTCATCCATGGCTGGAGCTGTGAACTTGATGGGTAGTTCCCCCCTCCCCCGCAGCTCTATTTACAAGCATGCAAGGCTTTCTTGCCATGTAAACAAGATCTTCCAACACTTGGCTTTGAAATTTTATCACTTTTTTTTTTTTCAAAGCCACTAAAATCTAGGGATTCTAGGAGTTAAGGTCAAAGACTAAGTAAAAATAGTATTCTGTATCAAGCCTAAGACTATCTCACTTATGAAACTGTTGGGGCAGAAAAATAACTCCTTCCATCTCAAGGTCCTTCTGACTGCTCTGATAATCAAATTCACATGAGACTTTAGCAGAAAGAAGGCAAATTCAAGTTTAATAACATGTATGCCTTCTGTACATATGATAAGAAACCCAGGAGCAGTAACTCACCAAAATGATGGAAGCCAGCACCTTAAATACCACTTTCACCTAAAGATAGAGAAGGTGTTGGAGGTGGAGAGTCAGTTGTGGGAGGTGACAAGGAAGAGCACAGTAGACAAGGGTAAGATTATTATGTAGATGTAAGACCTGCGTTCTGCACTGACGGTGAACAGCAGGCCTGGTACGGTGAGGGAGACACCCTTACAGATGGAGGCTTCCCTTAAAAATGTAAAAATCGTTTCACAGCTGTAACTTCTACTTGCTTTTCAGAGTTTCTCCCACATCTGCTGTTGCTTACAATTAACCAGTGTAAAATGATCAATATCCCAAAGAGGCATATTTTGGGGTGGAAAACTTTGCTCACCTCTTTTGTATCAAAGGGGAACATAACTAGCAAAGGTGATGCCAAAATTATAATTTAAACTCATCTTCATATTTTGAGTAGAGAATCTAAGGAACTGTAAAATGGCTGTAGAAATAAACAGGAGCAATGAAGAATGGACCAGGAGAGTGTTTTAACTCAGTAATCAGTTTCTGAATTAATGTAGTTGCAGACTGCGTATTTGAGTGCAGAATGACTGATTTTATTCACATTTTCTGTCTCCTTAAGATTATTGCCTATATATCAAGAATTTGTTGAAATCATCTGCATCAGGAGTAGTATCTAAGTTTCTTTTATCTTGCCAGTTTTTAGAGATCATTTTTAGTGTACACCATTAAATATGAAATAGAATTTTCCTGTAATTTAATAAATCTTGGATATGGTGCAATCTCTAGTAATGCAGTTATTACTTTATTATTTCTTTTTGGCCTCATTCAAAACAGGATTTGAGGCACCACTCACATTGTGTTGACTATAAATCTTGGTCTTTTCATACAGAAGTAATGTAACCCAAGACCATGCTCCATCAATTGTGTTTTCTCTGTATCTGACCCTGATCTGTTTGTGCTGGTTTGCTCTGGTGAAGCATCTGGTGCTATTTTAGTCTTATAGTATATTTTTTTTTTTCCTGTGCATGACAAATTGGTTGCATGTGTTATCTCTCTCGCTACTAGTTATACCGAAGTAGGTTAGAAGATGGGGAGCCGGCAGCAGCCCTTTGGGGTCTGGCCTTCCTCACTTGAACAGTTCAGATGTGACCTCAATAGGACATGGGAGGATTGTCCATTGGGTTTGGGTCATGTTTTTTGTAATGATATAAACCATTGAGCTTTGTAGTGTTAAACATAGGGCACCGTCTTCTCAGTGAGATGCTTGGAACTTGTTGGTTATGAATAAAGCTTATCATATGGTCTCTGAGGCGAGGCTGTGAGTGTGAGGCCAACCCTGATAACCTTGTTCGCTCTCCCGCAGGAAGCAGGAGAACACCACCTGCACCCAGTATTTATCCTATTAAAGCAAATTCTTACCACTGCAGTATATTTCAAAAGAGGAAGGGTAGATGGGATCACGGCTCTGTCAGCTTCACAGGTGAAGAGGGACATGTTGGTCATTGGTTTTAAATATGTGGACTTTTCACAGCAGGTAACTCAACAGTGTTTACCTGGAAATACTGTGGCAGTGCTAATTAAACATGAAAGGAGAAGCTGAGCTTGTTCTGTTTATTAGCATTGTCCAAAGGACTGTCGGTATTGCTTCATCATTATAGGTATTTGGTGCCCAGTGAAAAAAATTTATCAAGTTTATAATATGTTCTTCCTTTTTGGACTCTTAGTTTTGTGTGTGTTTTTGTTTTTAGAAAACAGGGGATACACCTTTTAGATCATTGAGCCCCACACAGGCTCAACGAGTGCCATTAATTGGAATGACTGACCAATCAAGGGGAAGGGGCGACCTGCCCTCCCATCTGTCAGGCATTGGGTATATGTATTGAGACATACAGTGAAGTCCACAGGCTTTCCTTTGTTGCCTGTCCTTCCACTGGAAGGACCTCTCCTTTTCTTGGCTTTATTGATACTCATTTACCACTTTTTGTTTTCTGCCTTATTTGCAATTCTCTCATTTTTGTATGTATCTGGCATACACGTAACTTTGATAAATCCTCAAATTCACAAGCACAGTTACAACTGTATTTCTCACATTACATAAAGTGTAACTGAAAAAGATTTTAAGAGACCACTTCAGACCTTTAGTGATTGTAAAAGGAGGACTGAAGCCATAAAATTATTCATTTGTGTTAAATTAATATACTGAAACCATCTGCATCACGAAAGGCTTTATTGCATTGTCATTATACAGGTAAGAACTAACAAATTCCTTACCCTTTAACACCCCAGGGCTGGCAAAAATGTCATACTGGTGAGACTCGATCCTGAGACCTGCTACACAGAAGAGTCATCTGGTCCTTGGCCAGCTTCAGCTTTAATGTTGGCCATTCCTTCTTGGATAAGTCAGTTGACAGAAACTTGACAAGGGCTGCTGGGGTGCGCCCTGTCTGTCCTGCACCATCCACCTCCTCATCTCCCACTGCCTTCAGCCTGCCCTGGGCTCCCATCACCCTCTGCCACCCTCATCTAGATAAGCTCACTGCAGTCTCCCAAATCCTCTCCCGCTCTGACAGCTGCTGTCCATGCTGAAGACAGGGTTTTAATTTTTAAATGAACCTGATTTTGTCACCTTCCCTTCTTAGAGCCTCTCAATGACTTCTCGTTGCTAAAGATGACAATTTCCGAAGAGGCCTGAGCTTTGTGCACCCGCCCTGGCCTCTCCACCTGCTCTTTCTCCCTGGTCCTGGACCCACCTGCTCTGGGAAGTTCAGACACACGGTCCTGCCCCTCACTCAGCTTCTTGGTGGCTGTACACCAAGCATGTCAAACTCGTGGCCCGCAGGCCTCATGCCTCGTTTATTTGGCCCGTGTTAGCCTTTGAGCTTGACACGCTTCTCAGAGCACTGGTTTTCACTTGAGTTGTAATCATGGAGAGTTTCTGTTGCGGCCCTAAGCAATTGTCAGGAGCCCTGACCCTCTGCTCATGGTGGAGCCTGGCATATTTGCTCTCTGGCACATAGCAACATGTGGTATGTGTTGAGTACATAATAATGCAAATGGCACATAATAATGCAAATAGCACATTATTTTCCCAAGTTCACATAGGAGGAGTAACCACTAGGCATACTGTCTCTGTACCATGTATCATCATCCGCTTTTTGTCTAACAAAGCTGTGTGCATAAGGTCGTGATCACAATTTTCTTTTTTAAACTATTCACATATATGCATATGTATACCCAGATTTCTCTGGATGGCAAGATTATGGGTGATTTAGGTGACTTTTCTTTTTGTGCTTTCCGATTTTTCTATAATGTAGATGGATAACTTTTATAAATAGTAGAGAAAAAAATAAGTAAATTTGTTTAGCACTAGATATGTTTACACAAAAGGAGGAGAAACAGGTTTCAAAACAGAATAATTGTCCACATTTCTAAAGTGCTATGTACCTTTATGTCTGCCATTATTGGGGGGAATTAAGACGAGACTACAGTCAGTTGTGCAAGAGAGAATTGTTTTCTTTGGTTATTGGATACTTACAGGTGCTTAGCTCAAGGGCAGGTGAATTTGATCTGAGGTAATAATGAAGCTCAATTTAAGAAGGTTTTTACCCCTGCAAAAGGATTTAGGATGATATAACCAAGTACTTTCTTTTTATTTGACTGAGAACTCCTTCCCTTGCCTTCACCCATATCCATGACTGGGCCCGTGTGTCAGTCTCCCCTTCCTGCATCATGACCATCCTTAGGTTTTACCAATTAAAGCAGCTAAGAGCACTGAAATGCTTTGATTACACAAATGGCTCTTTAGACCCCTTCCCTGTGTAGAATTGAACTCCTTCCTCTTTGCTTCTGCTCCCTATCAATGACATGTCCTTATGGCAGCATCTTGAGCAAGTCACTATGATACCTGCTTGCATCACTTTTCCTTTTGACCAAAAAGTAAGTTCTGCAAAAAGCAGGGGACTCGCTTACCTGTCCATCATGCTGTCCCCTCTCTGTACTTGGCAGGTACACAGTGTACTTTTCAAAGATGAATTACATCTAAGGTTATGGTGTAGGTTCACACTTAGACCTAAGAGGTCAAAGGGACAGGACTCAAGATAAATAGATTAGATAAAGACTGAGAAGAGCAATTTTGAGAGCTTTATGGAAAAGTAAAGAGGACATTTGCCAAAGGATTGAAAATATCTGCCTAATGCTGTTATTGCCATGTGAATAACCCGGAGAAATGAACACCATTAGAGAAGGGTTCTACCGTACTTTCAAGAAGGGATTTGAATACAAAGGAGTATATTGTTTTCATCCACATTATGGATGAGTTATACTCATGTGTTGTCATCTGTGACTTCTGGAGTAACCTATTTGGTTAAATAAACTGGCCACTTCCTTGATCTCATTTGCTTGGAAAAGTACTTATTCTTATGTCTATAAATCTTTTGAACAGCATCCTGGTGGGGAAGAAGTCTTACGGGAACAAGCCGGAGGGGATGCTACTGAGAACTTTGAAGATGTTGGGCACTCGACAGATGCTAGAGAATTGTCCAAAACATATATCATCGGGGAGCTGCATCCAGTACGTGCTTTTGGGGGGCCTTTACTTCTTTCTCTTTAAGGCTATAGGTTGACATTACCCAAATCTGTAGACTTGCAGTTTTAAAAAGGAATAAAGTAGAATAATTCCTCCCGATTTTACAACACCATTTTTGTCAGAAACAAATTGCCTAGAAGTTTCTTTGCATTTCCCTGGTTTCGTTTTCCATTGGCATTTAGAGTCAGAATCCTCTAACCCCGAGGCCATGACCCTGAAGGGTCACAGAGGAGCAAATTTTAGAAAGTGGAGGGTATAAACCCAGTATAATTTTATTTTTTATAGTTTTCTTTTTTGACCAAAATATTTTTTAAGAGTCCCCCTTCTATTTTCATTAGTTTGAGACTATTGTATTCTTAAAGAATGATTTTAATTAAGAAAAATCAGCTCTATTAAATGAGTAGACTCTGCCTTCTATAAAACTCCACCCCAGATCTTTGGGACCATCCCCTCTGGTGCTGGTTCATGGACTGGCCTTGAGGAAACACTCGCCTGATTCAGCTTTTATATCAAGCCAGGGCTGTGATATGAATGCAGGACCTTCCCTGGCATTTAAATGGCCATGTACAACTTCACTAGTCTGTCCACTGAAGTTATCAGGAAAATAGCTGCAAACTTGGACAGAAGCAGCAGAGCTGCCCAGCGTCCTGAGCAGCGGGCACTCCCGCCTTGTGGTGCGTGAGTGAAGGAAAGGAGAGAGGAGGCTCTTCAGGGAAGCCTGTAGATGGGACCGTTTAGAGCACTTCCACATTTCCATTGAGTTGGCAGTGGGGGTTGTGGAGGTAGGAATGGTACTTGGAGAAAATAGGCTTCATTTGTCTGGAGATTTTATTCACCCACATGCTTTCATCTTCATACTTCACCAAAGGGGGGCAGTTTTATGGTAATCAGCGGGGCCTGCCCTTAAAAACATTCCATCCTGTCCTTACTCTCCCTTCCAAACCTTGTGAGGGTAGAGTGCTGGCTTTTTAGGATGTGATAGCAGCATTTTTGTCTCATCTGCCTATGGGATTCACCTGTGGTCTGTTTTAGATGCACTTTATTTTGGACTGACTCAGCCAGAGGTTTAAGTAGATTATGACACTACAGTTGTGAGATTGCAGGAATTCACTGAGGATATCACACAAATTGTACACACATACATATATACACAGTGCATATACACATACATACATATACACAATGCGTATACACATACACACATACATATATACACAATGCATATATACACACATATACACACAATGCAAATACACATACACACACATATATAATGCATATATACATACACATGTACACACACATACACACATCTCAAAGGCAATTTGAGAGGATAGAAGGGAGGAATCTGATAACTCAGCTGCTCCCCGACATATAAGGATGACTATCATGGATACTGTTCTAAACTTGGAACTCTAGATCAAAATACCTCTCAGCACTTAATCAGCTAACAATTTTTGCAGTCAAGTCAGTGGGATAAAACTTTGTGTTTAGCAGCCTAGATAAATGAACCTGAAATGATAATTACTGAACAATAACATTTTTTAGAAATCGCAGTAAAATGAGCACTTTGGAAATGGCACATTTGTAGACATTTACATTCTGTAATGTGTCTTGTTTTTTATTGCAGGATGACAGACCAAAGATAACCAAGCCCACGGTAAGTGTGACCATCTTGGTGTCTCGGTGGCCATAGTTATTGCCACTGTATCTCATCCCTGAAAACCGGAGGGCAAAGGTCTCTTACTGACCTGACTGAGGCCAGCACAGGCGTGTTTCTAGGTTAAATGAATATGTAACCTGTTGGGTTGGCTCAACACACTTTTGTATTTGTATAGACCAGTCATTATGTTTCATTAGGAGAGTCGTGTGTTCTCAACATAAACTCTCAATACCTAAGAGAATTTTTTCATCATGATTATCAGTGGATAACTTTTGAAGAGCTAGCTCCTTTTTATAACTCGCACTGTGCCTTTGGAGTGAAAGATTTGACTCAGCCCTATTTTCAGAGAACTTAAAATCTGATTGAGCTGAGGTCTTAATGCTTAAACCTTTGAGGACACTTCCTATGTCTTCATCTCCACATCTTGGGCATAGTAGATGTTCAGTAAATCCTGGATAAATTTAATGTTATTTAAATTAAATGATAACTTTTTGGTGCATTTTTCCTTAGGAAAGGAAAATAATTCTAGTGATACTAATTTTGTGCCAGGTCCTCTAGCCCTTCTCTCTGAGGTGGTCATCTCACTCATACTTGAAGATAAATCCATAGTAAGAAATGTGACAACCGCCCAAGTCCCTGAAAGGGCAAGTGGGAAAAATAGTCCTGGGCCTGTAACTAAAGGACTGTGGGGGAAGTTTGCTTAAAACAAATGACAGAAAGTATACTTTTTCTGTTTTGGTTTATGTTCTTGGTTTTATTAGAGAGAACACAGCAGCAAGACTGCACAGGGCTCGTGTTAGGATCTGGTGAACTCATTTACCAGCTGTTACTGACAAGACATTGTCTAAATTTAATCTACAAGAAAATCAAGCAGTTAATCTAGCAGAGCATGAAGGGCCACTTTTACCTTGGCAACCCAGATAGTACAGTGAAAGTCTGCGTGATGCTGTTTCATTTATATTCTCTCTTCCCCTATTCAAGGAAGGCTTAAGTTCAACGTTTTTATCTTTGGGAAGATAAAAAATGGACTTCAGACTTTGAATGCCTCTGTAACAATTGCGTAGAATCCTTGCTGTTGGTTCATATGGCTTTAGCACCTTTTTTGAGGCTGCTTTTTGGACTGCAGAAATTCTGCGGTGCATGAAGTTTTTGCTTTTTCTCCAATGATGCATTTTTAAATTAACAAATCTATATCCACTTTGCTTACATGGAGGATATTAGAGGTTGGAGTGCCTTTTCTTGGTTTTAGTTTTCAAAGCGTTGCTGTATGTATGACTTTATTTGGTTCTCAGGCATCCCTGAGAAGGTGAAGACTACGACACTCAGACCTTGTCCCAAGTTTGACCTTGTTCAAGGTCACACTGCAGCACCAGGGCCAGCACCCATTTTAGGTTTGCAGACTCTTAATCTTAAGCTTATGTAGGCTCTTGACTTCACTAATGAAAAGCATTAGTCTGACAATAGTATTTTAGGAAAGAGTTCCAATTGAGGAATGGGCTAAATTAGATGACTTTGATTTGCAAAAGCTCGATGGACTTTGCATGTCTTCATATATGTACTGTGTTTAGAAGCTGCTGGGAGGTAGCTTGTTAACCTGCCACCTGTTTACTCAAGGTCACAGAGTGAACCGGTGGCAGAGCCTGTAACAAAAACCGTGGTCTTTTCTCCCTGTTTGTGGTTGACATATTGGTTAGTTACATATGAAAGCCGAACCTAGCCCCTTCAGAGCATTGGGTAGGAAAGACCATTTCCTTTTTCATCAATGGGCTAATTGGTAATTCAAATTGGCTTTATTCTCAAGCATCCTGGGGTAAGAGCCTAACAGTTAACAAGCAATCAAAATCGCATATGATCTCTTAAAGGTCAGCTCTGTACAATTTCACTGTTGCTGCTGGTGGTGAGGACGTACCAGTGGTGTTTGAGCATCAGTGCTCAGGCCGAGTGGGCGGAGGGAGGCCAGGCCAGCTGTCCACACAGTTGCCAGCATGTTCGGTCAAGTGCATGTGCATGTGCTCCGTGTAACAAAGTAACGGATGCGTGTTTGCCTGCTGTTTACTATTTCAGGCCTAACTTTCTGGTGTGACAATAATATTTTGCCTTCAGTGAACTGTTGTGTTGCAGAGTTGATTATGTCTTTCTCCTAATAGCCAACTAGTATTTTTGCATATTCCATTTCTAAGAATCTTTGTTAATTTTACTTATGATATATACATTTTGAAAAATCACCTTGTAGTAGTTGTGAATACTTGTTGTAGTCTCAAGGATTGAACGTTGCTCAAAAAGATAAGAAATGTAAAGTTTTCTTTTTTAATGATTTATTTCCTCCCCCTCCCCCTGTGTCAGGAATCTTAACGGCCATGTTCCCAGGTTGGTGGGTCTCTGAACTGCTTTGCTTGCTCATCCCTAACAGGTGTCCGCCCTTCGGCGGGAGCTTCAGCATGCCTGCTGTGTGGAGCTTCGCTTCAATGCAGACCTGCACACCGCTGCTTGTGTTGCTAACGGTTTTTTGTTCTGCACTTTGAGACCCTGCAGAGATGAAATGCTGCTGCCGCCTTATTTATGGCTCCCTTCCTCTGCGGTCCTAATGCTTTTGCTGGTGTGGATTTCAAAAGAATGCTTCTTAACACGTTTGCAAGCCTGGAAAAGTTTCTGAGTCACGAGGCCTTAGTCATTCGGCTGTTTGGGGAAGTGTGCATTTTCCAGAGCCATCTCAGTTCACTTTCCCTGTATGACAAGAACTCTCAGAAGCTGCTGGGAGGTAGACAGGCCGGAACTGTGGCAGACCCCAACACACAGGGTGTCCTGGTCAGGAGGTTCTGGGATGACAGTGTGAGGTCAGTCCCCAAGGCCTCCAGGATCTTTCTAGAGCTGTCTTGTCAGAGCTAAAGAAAGGTTGCCCAGTGTGTTACAATTTAAATGGCGGTTCTTAATTTTTTCTTTTTGGTTGACATGTCCTTTTAATATAATTTGGGGACACTTTTACTTCATATAAGATTTGAATGAAATAAATGTTTTTATTGAACGTTTCATTCATGATTTTGAAGAATTAAACTTTCTTCTTAAAGGTAATGATGGGGTTGTGTGTGTGTGTGTAAATCATATCTGTTGTCCTTTTCTACATTAAACTATTCAGATATCTGTTGTTTACAGGATCTGTAGCCTATTAGTTTTTAACATTTTCTTTCAAATTCTCTAGGTTATGTTCATAAGTAACTTAAATGTAGATCATTCTTAAAATTCTTCAGAAAAAAATGGTGAAATTAGGCATTTTAGTGAAAAGACGTATATGATGTAATTTCCCCTTTCAATATCTTTTTGAAGAATGCAGTAGATGAAATACTGTGATCTTATTATAAAACAGGTTTTTCAGTCAGTTGTTCCCCTTAACTTACTTCACTTTTTTTTCTTGCGTTTCAGGAAACTCTCATTACTACGGTTGACTCAAATTCTAGGTATGTGGTAGTTTCCTTTTAAAATTATTGTCATCAGAAGGCTCCTAGAATCAGAGTTGGACTAGAGGCCCGTCCCTGACTTCAGGGCCTCTCTGATGCTCAGGCTCTCATGGAGCTCCCCTCAGTGGACATCTAGGGGTCACCTCCACTCAGCACCCAGACTGCTCAGGGCATTCCCTCCTAACCTGCACACAGCTCACTGAGAGTCTCCTTTCCCCACAGGGCAGTCCGAGGGCTGCACAACCTTTTAATCTCCAGGCAAACATTTTATCTCCTTCCTTATTTGATTGTGGTCAGTTCCTTAAACTGCAGTGATTCCATCTCTCTAAGCATGGCTCAGTTTTCCGTGGCCCTGAAATTGAACCCTGTCATCCAGGCGTGACCCAAATCACTTGTTCTGTGGACTAGATTTCTTCATTTTAGTCCAAGATTATGGGAACATTTTTGGCAGGTCTGTCGTATTGACTTGTATAATTTCCACCATATATATATTTTTTGGACCTGACCTTAAAACCACAGATTTCTGCCAATTTTATTTCACCCTGTGAAAGTTAATTGCCTGGGCTGTTGGTGTTTTAGTCCCTTCCTTGCCTCCAGGCAGTACCACACCTTACTCTTTACTGCCACATTGTTCCTTCCAAAAGGGAAACTAAAACCCCACCGAGATGAAGATCACACCTGTGATCCTTCTGCATTGAAATCTTTATACTGACATGGTCTTTGAATGGGTTGATGTGTGCAGAGGATTGATGGATGGAAAGTGTATGGCAAAAAATGGATGTATTACATAGATGTTGTCTGGCTTTATTCAGATTCTAAAACCTATATATTAATTTCTGTTTCCTAAGAAATGATAGATTCAAATCTAAATGGAAGACCTCCCTAGCTCTGCCCCTGATTTGATCTGTAATCTGTTATTTATAGTAGGTCCAAAATTCTTTGCCTCAGGACTGATCACTAGGTCAGTTAGGCATTTTTGTGAACTTACGTACAACTGTGGGCCACATGTGGTTTCTCAACACGCTAAGTCTGCTACATGCGTGTAAGGATTAGATTTTCCAAACAGTACAAGCGGTAGAGCTGTGGTGCTGGTCAATCTTAATCAGCCTTTGGTTCAAAGCCCTTACCTTTCCTTCCAGCTCAGGGTGCCAGATTTGCCCTTGGCAATAGCACTTGCCAAAGGCTCTCCCAAAAGGGGAAGCTTGTCCTTCTGGTTCTCAACCTAGTGCTGTTTTAAGTTCTTAATGAATGTCTGAAACTAGAATAAAACCTGTAAGGACTATTCCCTTTGTGAGTTTGTGATACGTAACCCAGAGTTGATGTCTTTTAGGTAAGTCACCAGTCCTAGATCGTAACATCTTTTGGGGGAGTGATTCATAGCTGTTTGTATACGTTTATAGAAGGAGATATAAGTGGAACTGGGGGGTGTGGGAAGAGGTCATTAGTTTTCTTATAAAGCTAGAACAATAGCGGAATTGGCCAGAATGCCAGCTCACATCACTTTTAGCAACTCAGAGTGGTCTTTCATGGAGAGGTTAGAGATGATTTCCATGGTAACTGGAAGGTGCAGAGACTGTGTCACCTGCATCAAACACCATGAAGTATCATTGCTATTCCTTTCTAGCTGGTGGACCAACTGGGTGATCCCAGCCATCTCCGCACTGGTCGTGGCCCTGATGTACCACCTCTACATGGCGGAAGACTAAACACCTCCGCAGAAGCCGATGGAAGAAAAGGCTGCCTTGGATCAGGAAGAAAGAAGCCAGTGTTAGCTGCTTCGACGAACAGAAACCTTCACCTGAAAAGTAATTTTAATACACCTATTTCCCTCTCCTACGTTAGAAACAAACCAAGTCAAAAAGAACTGTTCTGTTCTGTCTACCCTTGAACTTTCGCATTGTGCCTTCTTCCTCATCAACTCTTTTTCAACGTCCCACGACTACGTGATTTACTCACTGTAGGCACGATCTTTCAAAAATGCACCTGGCTTTTCAAATATACCACCCTGTGTGCCTGTCAATGTGGGATGTAATTGTCTTTAATGTTTGAAATCTCTGATTGTCTAGCGGAGTCATTTAATGTATTAATTAAATGAAGGTCGTATGACGTGAAGGTTTGTATGATGTGAGGAAGGGAATATCTAGTTGAAAACTTGGTATTGCATGTTTCCCATTTAATTTCTTTCTCAAGGAAATTAAGAAAGGCCCTGGGTATGATAGCCTAAGGATTTCTAAAAATTGTTCTACCTGAGATGATCAAAAGAGAAAGTGGAGATTTCTTCTCTTCTTTGTTTAAAAAATACCAGCAACAAAAAACAAACTTGAAACCCATGAGAGGACATTACAGCTGTTCCTTCTCTCAGCTCCAAAATATCAGTCCAAAGTTTTCGGTTATGTAGGTTCTCAAGGTGAAAACTGTGTATTCTTGCAAGGAAATGCTGATTTTCTAATCCATAAAAATACACATTTGAAAGAGATTGTGGGACATTTGGAATCTGATGTTTGAAGGCATTGAGCTATTGGAGATGAGCCTTGGGGGATCTAGCAGGGCTCCGAGGACTGAGTGGCTCATCTTTGATTATTTTCTCTGCCCCATGCTTTTTGTCTTTCAAAGTGGAAGCTGGGGGATGAATCTGTAGACACTCAGTACTCTAGTTAGCTGTGACTGTGCAAGTTTCCATGGGCATGCTAGCTGACTACAGAGGTGAGGGTTCTTCAGAAACCACTGACACATTGAAAGGAATTTTTTTTTTTTACTACAGAGAATAAATTTTTATAACCACTGACATGTATCACCCTTTGCATCTTCTGTCACTGAAAGTTAAAGTTGGAGCAAATCTAAGGGGTGGGGAAAGATGCTGTATCATGTGGGAATCCTTTACTCAGATTTCAATAAACGCATGCCTGGAACAAAATCACGCCTCCTGTGATGGCCTTGCGGTGCTGACGTTTCCTCTGAGTTCCGGGACATCACTGACATCAGAGTCCGGGGGCTCCGGTCCACACGTGCTGCCTTGGCTTAATCATGGGTAGCTAAGGAGCGAACCAGAATGACTGTTAGGACCTGCATTCTGCTTTTTGGCACATAGCGAGGATTCCCATGTCCAGTTTCTCAGTTTTTCCTCTAGGAACGGAGAGAGGTTGGTTAACTGCTCAAGATGTGTTTTTCAGCATCATTATTGTGGGTGTGTCTGCAAAAGGAGCAGTAAGACCAAAGGGATTAAAACAAGGAATGAGTGCTCGCCACCAGGGCTTTCTGTAATCTCAGAACACACTCTTAGGAACTGTTGCTAACGGAGACCACACGGCGTCGCCATTGGGGAGAGGAAAGCTGGTGGGAGGCTTAAAAACCTTTTCTTGAGTATGTTCAAGTTTTAAAAGTTATGCCAGGTGAGGTATTTCTTCTTTCATTTATATATATCTAAAAAAAAGTTTAGTTATGGCTTTGCTTTAGTTCTCTAAAGGATACACTCAAGAACTTCATTAATACTAGAGGTCATAATGGTAATTTTATTATTCACCTTGTATTATTACTGTGTTAATGAAAATTTAGATGAATACAATTTTATGTACTGTAATTACAATTTATAAGGTTATGTGTTTATATGTAATATTACTGTCATTTTTCTTAACTGACACTTTTGAGCACTTCCTGGATGCCAGACACTGCCCTGAGTAATTGACATGAATCACATCCTTCTGTCTTTGTAATTACTGCCAAGTCTTGTTTTGCAATAGCACAGTTAGGATAGCAACCTAAGTCTGTGTGGCTCCAAATACATTTCCTTTGACTACAAGACTCACTGCATGTTTACATGCATATTGAAAGACTTCTACCAGGGTGGGCTCCATGCTATGCGCTCCGAAGGATGCACGGGAATGGATGCTGGGAGCTTCTATCTCATCACGGAGGTAAACACCTGCACAAACCACTGTGAGAGGAGGTGTACCAGGAGCCTAGGATGCTGCAATCCCAGAGGTATTCCATTGTGTAAATGTATCATAGCTTTTTTATCCACTCATACTGATGGGCCCTTGGGCTGTTTCCAGATCTTGGCTACTATAACTAATGCTGCAATGAACATAGGGGTGTACATATTATTTTGAATTAGTGTTAGAATATAGAAGTGGAATCGCTGGGTCATAAGGCAGTTCCATTTTTAATTTTTTGAGGATTAAACTGCATACTGCTTTCCACAGAGGCTGCATTCTGCATTCCCACCAGCAGTGCACAAGAGTTCCCTTTTCTCCACACCCTCACCAGCACTTGCTATTTGTTAACTTATTGATGATTGCCATTCTGACAGGTGTGAGGTGATACCTCATCATGGTTTTAATTTGCATCTCTGATGATTAATATCAAGCAGAGTTTGGTTGGAAATATTGGGTCTATGAAGCCTTTCATTGAGACACTTGTCTAATCAAGATGCTATAAATTCAGGTAGGGCTCTATGCTTGTCTCTTCTGATGTGTATCTCTGGTGAGAGCAATTGGGCCTGTTGTGAGTTCAGATATAACATGTAATCGGTAGTATAGGTAATAAATTCAATTTAATGGTATCTCTTCTCTACCTTCACTATCTTGAAAAATGCCTCCCTTCAGAGAAATGGTCTGGGAAGACTACCTTCAGACAGGTCATAGTATGAATTTCTTTCTCTGAGTGCGTATGATATGGGTCCACATGAAATCCAAATAAAAGATTTTAATCTTACTGGTATGTATATATTTCTGTTATAGAGAAGTATGATAGAGAGACAAAGACTTTCAGCCATAGCGGTATCTTTTCTTTGGATAACATTCTGGGGAAAAGAAGTGGAAACATAAGGTCAAGGAGAAAGAGGGACTTTGTGAAATTTCTGTCGGTGAAGGACGAGTGGCAAAGCCTATTTTACAGAAGGGGAATGATGATGGCAAATTGCTCTGAGATTTAAATTGTACTGAGCACATTTAAGTGATGTTTCAGCTTTCTTTTAAAATGGCAATATTTAAAATATACCAACGTTATGCCTTTGCAGATACTTAAATTCATGATGAAGAATTATAAAGGACAAGTGAACATTTTGTTTTAATTCTCTTACGGTCTTACGGTGTGATCTACGCAAGTGTGTGAAGACTGGTCTACTATGTGCTCATCCACTGTTTGGCCACAATAGGAACTCAAAACATGATTTTAAAATAGGGATGGTATATGTTGAGCGATGTACATGCTGCATGCTTAATTTATTTATTTATTTGTTTGTTTGTTTGTTTATTTATTTATTTATTCATTCTCGCCTGAGGGTATTTTTTCCATTGATTTTTAGGGAGAGGGAGGGAGGGAGAGAGAGAGAGAAAAAATATCTATGAGAGAGAGAGATATCGATTGGCTGCCTCCCGCTTGTACCCCGACCAGGGCTGGGGATCGAACCTGCACCCCAGGTACGTGCCCTTGACCGGGAATCGAACCCTCAACTCTTTGTCGCTAGTGCTGATGCTCTAACAACTGAGCACACTGGCCAGGACTGCTTGCTTAATTTTAACATCAGGCTGCCCGATTTTTCTTATTTCTTTCAAACTACTCAATATTGGATTGTGTCAGTAACAGGTGTCAGCACAGCCTGGCTCACGGGAAGCATTCGAGGATTTGAGCTGAACCTATATTATGAGTTGTATTGAATTTCCCATGGCTTACAAGTCTTTGGTTGGTTTTTAAAACCCTTCCTGCCCCTGAACTGGGGACTGTTTCATTGGAAACACTACATCTAACAATATTATTTTTAGGTGAAGATAAGGCGGGCATCTCTGAGGATGCTATAGTGGAAACCACACACTCTTTCAGGAAGGCATCTGCCCTACTAAATCCAGGTCAGGATCCAGGAGAGAGGAAGGCTTGGCCCAAGACCTCGGGTGGAAACCAGTTGCCTGACTTGGAGTATGTTCCTTATCCCCGCCGAATCTTACTTTCCAAGTTCATCATTTGTGAGCAGTGCTGCTCTTGCCCTCAATAGGAGGGGCCTCACCCATGTCAGAGGGTCCCACTCTGGCCCCTGGCTGTGCCCCTCCCCGTGGCCAGGGGTCTGGGGCCCGTGCTGCACTTTCCAAGCTACACTTGTTGCCCTGACCCCAGGGCACCTGCACCATGGACCCAGCCTGCCCTTGCGCCTGTGTGGGTCTCTTCTCCGAGTCCATCCTCCCAAGGACCGACCAGGTATGCCCACATCTTGGCCTGAAGGGTGGGCAAGGGGTTATGGTTTCCAGGGAGCTTGGACAACTTAGGTGAATAGTTTGGGAGCCCACAGGTGGTGTCCTGCATGCACTGGGGCTCCTTTGCAATATGGGGTGTACCTGGCATCCAAAGGGAAGGCTGCATGAGCTGGTTCTCCAGGCACCACTTCACCACAGAACTGAGAGGAATCTGAAAATACTAAATTCAAGCCCAACCTTTAAGGCATTTGTCAAGATAGGAGGAGACACATTTTCCTGGGCAGACTTATTACAGATTTATAGCATTAAATACTCAGACCTGCTGTGTGCGCTCTTCCATCCGTCCCTGCCCCGCAGATGTGAGGGGCCAGAGGCTCTCAGGGTTACCGTGGGGACCAAAGTGACTGGCAGGCCCGCCCCCTCTACCTGGCCACATGCATGAATATTTGCACTCTCCCAGCTGGGTTTCTTAGGAGGCTGCTGTAAAGCGAGACGAGGTCTGTGGTGTCTCATATTTGAACAAAATGAATTGTAATTGTGATATTTACAATTTATAGCCATGTCATGTCCGGGTATAGGAATCTGAGGCTGGGCCACCCAGTCTTCAAACTCCCATGTCTGCTCTTCTCTGACTACGTGTGTCTTCTCTCTGTCACCTTATCTGGAGGCGCCACTGGGTTTGGCTCCCTATCAGGGTGGGGAGCTCTGGTCCTTGGGATAGTAGAGTCGCCCTTGAGAAATGAGGTCAACTCCTGGCTGTCAGCATCAGCTTTCCTGTGGGTGATGAGGGATGGATGGTCCCTGCCCTTGGCATGGTCTCTGCCCTCTGTGTCCCTGGGAGGAGGGCCATGTGAGTGAAGACAAATGGCATCCACAGGGCTGGACTTCTGTATCTGCCCAGTCAGCTGCTCAGAGGCAGGGGCAGACTGTGGGAGGAGCAGCAGGGCAGGAGGGTGTTTTATGTCAATCTCAGAAACTATAGAAAAGGGCACAGGTGTTCCCATGGTGATGGGGGTGGTGGTGAGAGGGTGCTATCAGAACACATACTTGGTGGTCAACCAACAAATATTTTGAGCATCTGAGAGAGATCACGAAATCCTTATGCCACTCCTGAAACATAAATCACAGTCTTATTTGTTTTGGGTTGTCCAATGTGAAAATTATTGTCAAGAGGGAAAGCAAGTCCCAAGTCACGGGCAGGAAACTCTCTCAGGGGAAGTGTCTAGAAAATGGAGAAATGCGTGCTGCTGCCCTCTGCTCTTGTCTCAGGCCTGGGTGTCTTCCTGGTGACCTCTTCTTACTGAGGCTGATGACAAAGACCCCCTGAGCCAGGAAAGTCAGTTGAACCAAAGGACTTCTGAGACCAAAGGCAGTTATGTTAAGGAGGGTGGGTGGGGGCAGATCTTCCTGATGCCAGGTGGTCCCTGGCAGCTGCTGGTATTTGGTGTCCCGAGAACCAGGCTGAAGCTGTCTCAGGGGTTGGCCTAGAAACAATTATACATCCAGGGCGGGGCTCTCTGGTATCCCTGTTCCCTTTAAAGAAGCATCTGAAACCAATTTGCTGTGTCTATCCCTTAGGTGCCACAGAAAACCAAGGCAGGACGTGCAAAGGCAGACATTTCACCTCCAGTCCAAGTCATTTTTAGGTAATAAAGTTTGCTGGTGTGTTTTAATATTCTTGGAGCCATGAGGGAACACTGGAAATAACATTGCTTAAAGCCTTGTCCAATTC